TCCACACACCTAATGCGTGAATACTTCCGGCTTACTTTCTAATTTCTTAGTAACGATAAGATAAAACAAATTTTGGCAAATGACGTACTCTCTAAGAAAACCGAGGGCGGGTGGACGGGGCTACTACCTGCTAAAATAAGACCGACTTTGGCAAATGACATACCCTCTAAGAAATTTAATAAAATTATTATAAAAATAGACACTAGAGCCTCCAAAGCAAATTCAAATTCTTTCCAAATAGAAATACCTAGAACCTTAAGATTGTTTTAATTTTTTCCCAAAATTAACTCAAAAACAGGTCAGGTCAGGTCAGAATTTTCCAAACATAGAACATCAAAATCCCCCAAAATTGTTTTAAATAATTTACAAAAAAAATCTCCATGGACTCCCAAAATAATACACTATGAGTAGCCAAACACCAGATTCCTTTAAATGTATCCGAAAACAAAACACCAGGACCCGGTTTATAGAAAGTAAATTAAAGTTAATTCTCAATTAACTTTTAATTGAGGTCCATTGCTAGGCAACGTGCATGTTTTAACCAATCACAGGCTCATATTCTACATTTTAATCATGTGTTAAATTAATCAAGGATTAAATATTTAATTGCTTTCTATAAACCGCCCCCAGGGGACCTAAAATTAACTGCGAACATTTTAAACGTAAGCAGATTTTACAGTCCAACTTGGAATTTAAGAAAAAAAAAAAATTAACAAGTCGTTGACGTAATAATTACAGGACTTCCATTAAAATTTATTGATTCATCCTCTCTAGGAAGGTAATGACGTCATCTCAAAAATGTATTAAGTACGTTTATTGAAACGTGTACTGTACGTAACAAAATTAGTGTATGTATTCTCCTCAATCAAAAGATGATGACGTGTTAATATTTAAGGGTTATCATAAGAAAAATCTAATTTGTGCAATAATTTTTTACTCCCTTATAATTTATCTCTAAAACTGGACTTTTTTGCCTGTGTTGCATAGTCAAGGGAAGTTCTACCAAACATTTTAATTTTTTTAATTTTTTTTAAAAACTACATAAAATAATCGTTGTAACGAATATAAAAATCCTACCAGATGATTTCAAAAATATATACTACATACAGGATGTTCCAAAATTACCACAAAAAAGTTCTAGAACAATACAGAGTACGTCAACATCAAAAATAATTTAAAAAAAAATGTCACTTTGGCTCTAGTTTAAAAAAGTTACAGCGTCTTTAATTTTGAAAAAAATAAATTAATTTATCTAAGAATCTTGCCTATGAAACGCCTGTATTGCTTGACAATGTACAAGGAAGTATTATCCCAATAATATGTGCATGTCGAGATGTATGTGAAGGCAATTTTGAACATTTACTTTAATCTAATTCATGTTCATTTTTTATAAGATTTGTAATTAATAAAGTTGTTACTATGGTACCAATTATATATTTGGGCCTATATTTTTTCGGCGACTATTTTGGAACAGTCTGTTTTCAAAAATAAAAGCTGAATGTCGCTACCGATTGGTCTAAGATTATTCCTCGCCCCTCAAGTACAGTATAATACGAGTATATCCAGATTCTTCGAAAAATTATAAAATTTGATTTTGTAAATTTTATTTTTCTCGTGATAACCCCGATAACTAGATATATGTGGTGTTCCATTATAAGTAAAGAAGCGTGTATACGTATACTTTAAGAGTGTTTTTCCATTTAAAAAATCTTGTGATGACATCATCAACATTTTAACAGTACTGGAATGCCAAATTTTCGGAAAAATGGGGTAGGTCGTTTTTTTATTTTTTATTTTTTTTTTTTTTATTTTATTGATTAACGTTACCCAACAGGCCGGAGGCCCAATTACAGGGTAACGGGGGACATACAGAACACCCAGAGCAGGGCGGGAATTGAACCCACGACCCAAGGTGTGGCAGGCAAGCGCGATGCTACCAAACCCACCCGGGTCCTCTAATCTATTGACTCATTTTTTTTAATCATACTGTCTAAGTAATCCATTCTAAAATAAATGCATTGATAAACAACACATATAGACAATAACCTTAAAACGTTTGCAAGATATAAAAGAAGTCAAATTGCATAACGTTATGCAATTTTAATTCTTTTTTTCCAAAAATCTGAATGTATAGAGTAAAAAATCGAAACGTATTCATGAACTACAAATGTGGGACTATGCTATTTTATAAAATTTATCATTATGAGATACATCATCACATTGTTGGCGGGACTGATTAGACAAATTTTGGTTAGAATTTTACGATCTACACAATCTATATTGATAAAATACATATAAAATTTGACAAGAATCGGTCTGCCTAATAAAAATCGACACAGACAGACAAAAGACAGGAAGCCTAGTTTTTCGTATGCTAGGATTCACGAAACGTCGAAAAAACATTAAAGCACCCAGTCCTCGAATGGACCCTATCCTTAACTTATGCTCGGGAAGTAAAATTTGATAGTTGTCGTTATGAGTGCACATGACAGATTTTTGTTGCTAAAGCTGGTATTTGAAAACTTCAAACTACATATAATACGCAGTTTTTTACAATATGTATTCGTAAGCACTAAGTAAACTACATTTCAAATCAATTAAGAATGCAAGAAGGTTGAGCCAAATCACTAGTTAATATATATGTATTTAATATAAATATCGTTGAATAAATGCAAGGAATTTAATATACTAAATTTAGAAACAATATTTTAAAAACAAAGTAATAAGAAATTTATAGATTAAAGAAGTTTTTTGTGTCACTTACTGCTTGGTAATAAGCCCTTCGGGTGTCTCATAACTTCATAATAGTCATAATGCAGCAATAAAGGGCAGATTTTTTTACAATATATGTAGTTAAAACTTTAACCAAAACTTAGAATTCCACTGTTGTTATACCATACAATAACAAATAAATATAACAACAAAAATCAAATTCAGTAAAATGCTCTATAGTTGAAGAACTAGACTTTGCCAAAAATTTCATACACTGTTGTTCAAATAACTTATATAGCATAATTTTTCAATTTAAAAAGTAGGTGTCCCGTTTCTTATTCCAAAACACATTAAAATTTCTGCAGTGTTTTTTATTGTCTGAGTACCTGCTTTACCAACTATACTAATCAAAGACCTTTAATATACATTGCATCTCTTACTGGTAGTCTGTCTAGATGTTTTCTTACTTAGTGTTAGTTACCAAAAAAACCCTTATTTTGAAAACTCTTCCAGAAATTTTTTGAAATGTGTTAGATAAGTGGGCAAGCGACAGTTTTTACGTTGTTGTGAAACTCTTTCTTAAACTTTTTATTTTATACTACAAATGATAAAAAGCTACAAAAATTACTTTCTTTTAGCGTTCTCGCTCAGCGTCCAAGACGAAAAGTTGTCGATTCCTCAATAAAACTTTAAAGATTAATAAAGGACATCAACCCTAGGTTTGTAAGATATTCCTTAAAATACAACCAAACTTTAAAACTAAATAAATAATAACCATCTATTGTTAAGTTTGCTGGAGTGACCAAGACAATTACGTTTGACGTAATACACATTCTCTGAATTTATTCGATTAACCTGTAGGGTAAATGTCATTAAAATAAATCAAAAACATCTGTTCAAAACAGACTCTAAAACCGTTACTAAAAAAATAACTACATTCATTGTTGACAATTATTAATAACAATCAATACCATTTCAGTCATTTCTGTAAAGAAGCCAGCTTTCCAATGACGGTTATCTATAACTCGTGAAAAATCTTATTTATTGTACATCAGCCACCATTAAACTAGAAAAATGAGTTACATTACGTTACAGGTATGTAAATAAATTCTTTCTCTACGGTAACAATATTACTGAAAACAATTTCATGATCATGAAATAACACGACAACACAAAAACTAGATTTGTGTGCAGCAGATTCAAGCAGCATTATTTAGGGAATAAATAAAATGAATTTATGTTAGACGCGACTTGCATTGCACAAAGCAACGAGAGAGATATTATTTGGACGATGTTGGACAGTTCCTGTTATATGAATCGTTTTTGTGCATAGCTCTAACTTTATTTCGTAATAACTAACATGTAATAGAATAATGTAAAATAGTGCAAGCGAAAATTGCATTATCTCCCTGTTTATGTTTGGTGATTTAAGGGCATTTCCATTATCTTCTGCTCACTGAACAGGCGAAATAAAACCTGAAATTGATAAAGATAATTTTGTTGTAATTAATTTTCCCAAAATGTCTACTTACTCCGAAATTAGTCTGTTGAATTTAACGAATCCCTTCTAAAATATTTATGGAATTACTTTACCCCCTGTACATAATTATTGCACCTCGCTGAGCAGTCATTCAAATCGCAGGAGATTCATCAAGCTGGTACCAATAAGAATTTGATCCTGCAGGAGTTGTAAGCACTGTGTACATTTATACTTGTACTTTGATTTAAACATTTTCTTTTGTGTTATATTTCTGTTTTAAGTGTTTGTTAGCAATTAATTTGTGTAACAGTAAGTAAAATTATCCGGGTACATATTTTCAATAACGTTACAAGGGGAAATAGCTCAATATAGCCAAACAAACATTTTAATATGGGGCGGCCTCTTTTCTGCAGTTCGTCTTACGGGATAATCCCCTCTGATCAGTGCTGTAATTTTGTCCTTTTTCAAGCTTACGTTCACCTGAATAGAGAAACCGTATCTCCCATATTCTATAACTTCTTACTTTCAGTTTATCTCGCTCCTTTCCAGAGGGATGCTTTAAAGTGTGCCACCGGAGAACAACCCCTGACAGGCGAGACAGGTGTTTGAGACATAATGTAGTTAGGCTACCGCTCAAGTGCAATTGAAATGTTTTTTGAAATATCCAGCTCAACAATGTCAGCTGTAGCGAGAACATTTCAAAGAAAATGTTTTAATTATGCGGGTGACAAGCATTTCATATGTAAAAGTTTAAATTAGAAAGGAAATACGTTAAGTACACTTCGTGCAGACCGAACAACAAAAACTATAAATTACAAGATTATTTAATTTCCATCTACTCTGTTATTACATAATTCTATGTACAATTATCTATTCATATACACATTACCTTATCAATTAGATTAATTACACGAACTTTCTTACAGCACGATTTAATAATTTAGGTACAAAAATAAACAACAACTTCAAATCACACAAAGAATTTCACGTAGGAGCTCGCCATATTAAATATGACGTCACCAATTATTTCGACTCGCTCTCCATTTCACGTTTTTACCATTTCAACGTGCTGCATGTCCCCATTTATGTACAACTTCTCATTATTGAGAAAATCCTCCACCGAATCGATCTTTTTTTGGAGCTCAACGTTCGTTGGAATTATTATGGGATGATTATTCATCGTTGCGGCTATTTTTGGCTCTTGAATAAGCCTTTGTCCTTTCTTTAACGAATTCTGCTTATCTCTAATACTAAACTCTTCTAAAATTTTCATCAGACTTGAATGTTCAACTTGTCCGTTCTCTTCCGTCGGTAACTTATCAGAACTTACAAACGATTGCTTGTCTTCTTCTTTATACTCAGGTGACGGTGGCGGCGTCACACTCACGGCTCTTTCCGTATTTGGTCTTCGTTCTAGCGCTGATTCTGACGCCTCTCGGTTAATTTTCTTCAGCAAAGATTCCGATCTTCGCGTAGGAGCTTTCGGTTGCTCGATTTCTTCATCAGCGATGATTAAATTCTCGACGTCTGAAAGAATATCTTGCTTGCTCCTAGGTGGTTTAGTTTGTCGGGGTAAACTGGTGTCTGTGGGGTTATAGTGTTCGATAATACGAAGATCCCAGTCTTCGAGTCCTCCAAAAGAGTCATCACTTTCTATATCGATGGGAATTTTTCTTACTCTTAGTTTTTCAAGAAGTTGTTGAGGAAGCAAAGACCCGAAACTCCTGCACCTCGTCATGCACGTTTCAAGTTTTCCTGTGGAAGCTGCCGTTGTCAGTTTTTTGGGTTCGTTTGGTAGTGATACTAAAGAATTGTTTTCACCCTCATCGGGATTTTTATCAATGTCGTCGAAAGTCGCTAGTGAAAGTTTAAGCTCGTTATAATTCGGCAAAGACACTACTGATAAATTTTTCCTTCGTTTGGCTTGTTTCGTTTCATCTTCGATATTCTTCACACTCTTTTTCTCGTTCGCTTCGTTCGTTCTTTCGTGTTTGTGGTTTCTGTTGTGTATGGCACAATCGTGGTCGTCTACCGGGCAAGTTGGATTGACAGTTTTCTTGACACAGAGGGGTTCTTCTACGGGCTTCTTAGACTGGAAAGCTTGAAGTCCAGTTTTTGCCACCGCTTCGATTTTCTCCCTAAAGCCCTTCTTGTGTTTTCTGGGGGGCGGCGTGGGCGTGTTGCTGTCGTTATCAAAAATGAGGGCCAGTTTGGGGTTCGGTAAATGAATGGCGTCATCCTTTTCCGGTACTTCCAAAGCGACGTCCGTCCAATCGGATGATTTCGAAAGGGGTTTGGTTTTCGTGATGTTGTCTTTTCGGCAGTTTGGATCGTTCGGATTTGTTTTGCACCTGAAATGAGGGTAACGTTAGATAAATTAGAGCATTTTAGTTAAACTACGACTCGAACGGTTCAGCTCTACATAACGCTGTGAGTGAACTTTGTTATCTTTCATCAGAAAATAAACATACCTATTGACCTGCTTCTGGTTTAAATGGGAATCCGACTTCCATGAATTCGGGCGTAACTGCAACAATAAAAACATATTTTAATATGTTGCTGCGTGCTGTGTGCATTTAATAAACGAGGACATTTTCTCGTGTAAACATATTTTCTCTCATTGTTCAGCTATAATAGGAGACGCTCAACCAGGACGGCTTTTCCCTATATAAAAAGAGTATTCTGCGGAAAAGGTTCGCATCGAGGCTTATCGTGTGCACAGGCATCTAATTTTTAGATGGTTAAACACATTATGCCCACATACACTTAGCTTCGGCATAGTTTATATCTTACGGCATTTATATTTATGCAAATTCGCTGCTTAACATTCGTTGAACTTTTTATCGTTATAATTATATTCATTCTGTTCCATAAACGGAAGACGCTTATTTAAAAATTCGTACAAAACAAATAAGTGCTTCGTCTTTGTCACATACAATAAACCGACGAAATAATATTTTTTCCTCGTAATAAAATGCCACCTAAAAAGTTTAAATAGTTCTCAAAGCAATACTTCGACGGATCCATAAACGAAAACGTGTGCGGAATCTTTCAACATATTGCAATTTTTAGATTTTAAGCATGCGTGTGCTGGGAAGTGTTAAAGCGATGTGAAAATAAACCGTAACAGAAAACACAATGATGAAAATTTATCGAAAGATTCCGAAATATTTGCGTGGAAACTGGAAAATTCTTATTACTATTAGCAGCGACGCAACAGTAAAATTAGAGAATTGTTTGCTGCGAAAACAATGCTGTAACGTCGCAACTGAAGCGATTTCTCCGATAAAGTCTGAAATTTTTCTTGATAACGACGCAATTTTGACCAGCAGCGCAATATCACATTCTTTTAAAGCACAGCACTGAGTTCAAAGAATGTGGCATTTTAATTATTTATTTCATATTTATTAACAACTTTTTTTGTTATAATAGTCATACTTCTGACATTTCAGCATTTCTTATGTAAAAATATCGATTGATGCATTCTCTTCCCTTCACTTTATGTAGTACGTATGCTCAGATTTAAATGCAGCCGTAGCCACACCCTGCTTGTTCAAGTTGTTGTATTGAGATCAGTTAGAAAAGAATATTTCCAAAGAAAAAAGTAAGTAGTACAAATATGTAGTTTTACGTGTTGTTTTTTAGACGATGTTTCTCGTACCGATGCGAACTGGATGCATCAGGTTATAAATAGCATCATATTAATCGCGAATTAATAAATTAGATACAAACCGGACTTTTATTAATTAATTCGCTGCTATTAAAAAAAATTAAACGGATTTTAACACCACATCGAGATAAAACGATAATTATGCGCATTTCAACTTAAGTAGGTAATTTTTTTTTTATTTTTAAGAGCATCTAATATAATTACATAAATTTGCATGATGTGTGAAAAAAGTATGCAACAAATAAATAAAGCATGGGGAACGACTTCGGTGCCGTTTATCTATATTACCAAAAAATTAAAAAATTAGAAACAATTCATACGTATAAATATAGCAAAATGTAACAATTTACATCAACAACATTTACACACTTGAATTTCACAGCCATTACGTTACCTTTGTTTATTATGATGCAATTTTTTCGGCCACAATTATATAATTGAAAGAATCTGTAAAACTATTTTCACTGAACTAGAACCACATCGAATACCGTATTTATATGAAAAAATATTTTAGTAAATATTTGTTTAAAAATTTTTGAAACAACGAAATGGATAAAAATATTAACACTACTCTATAAGTCAAAAACGTATAAATCAGTATACAGGGAACGATGATAACTAATAAAAAGGTAACATAAGCACAGCTGTAACAGATTTAAACTAAAACGATTTCTACGACTGAAAGAGAAACGTGTCTTTACCTCTTATTTACACTATTAATGTCACATCAGTATTTACTAATAAAGCTACCTAGCATGTGGCACCTCATCTCGAAACTTTCAAAATCTAATGATTAGTATCTCGAAGAGTACTTTTTAAATCGTTCAATCTATTTTTTCATTTTAAAATGTTAATGATTTTTTTTGTATATTAAAAAACAACGCCCATAAGGCATTACTTTTTAGGAATTCCAAAAATTAGAAAACTAGTCTTTAAAAAAAAAAGAAAATGGGATTTTTTTTTAAATTTTGGGGAATTTTGTGGTCGTTCGTGCGACAACTGTCGGATTGTAACATTTGAAATTTAAGTTCATAGTAAAATTTGTTAACAATGTGTGAAGCTGAAGACAATTTTAGGCCTCCCGAAATACGGAAAACTGCCCAAAGTACACCTGATAAATCAAAACTTATCCGGATGTTCCAGAGCTCCACAGTACTTTAATAGGGAGAAAAAAATGTTTGCTCAAAGTGATATAAAGAAGTTTATTATATTTTTTCAAGAAAATCGGTCTAAAATTATTCAGAGAAAACTTAACTAGCCCATAAAGGACAATCAAACAAACCCAGTTACTTAGAAAAATTATAAAATTTAATTTTTCCATTTTCGTTTGGTCATAACCTCTACAAAATAAAAACAATCCCTACTAAACGGAAAAAATGTAGATGTTCGCAATTTCTCAGTACCTCTTTAACTTCAACTGTTCAAAGTTAAATTGTAAAATATTGTTACAAAATTTTTATTTTTTTCCCAAAAATCTGAGTGCCAAGGATAAAAACTCAATACAGATTATTAAATTGTACATGCAGGAGTAGAATGTGTAATTCTATAAAATTTAAGGAACATTTTATTGGGCAAAATTATAAAAAGACGTCATCATTTTGAAGAGGGGCATAAACGAAAAAAAAATATTTTAACGATTTACTATGCTTACAATAAATTTAAAATACTTGCAAATTGTCAGAGCATTCAAAGTTAAATTGTAAAATGTTATAAAATTTTGATTTTTTTTTTTCCAAAAATGTGGTTGTCTCGGATAAAAACCCAACACGAATTCATAAACCATATTAAAACAATATCGTATATTATAAAATTTAAATAATATTTACTAATGTAAATTTTGGAGATGACGTCATCCTATTATTGGTAAAAATGATTATTCAAATTCTGATTAGCGTTTTACCATCTACACGATATTCCTAAAACACATACAAAATTTGAAAGCAATCAGTCCAGTAGTTTCTAAAAATCCCAGACAGCAGACAGACAGATGGAAACGGGGAACCTATTTTTTACTACCCTAGGAGTATGAAATGTCGAGAAAATATAAGAGTAACCAGTCGTCGAACGCATGTTTCAAATAAGTTTCTCTTAATATAATTTTATACTGACGTCATCGAGTTTTTGGTAAGAAAAATGACAGGTATATCAGTTGGGTAGATACAATGTTACACCAATAACAACAGTTCAGTATTCTCAAAATTTCAGAAAAATGAGATCCACTATTTTGGTTTTTATTAAAAAAATAAACTGCTTCATTCACCAATTTTTTAAGACATCCTGTACAAGAATTTTTAACTTATACTTACCTAGCCTGGGCTCAAGAAGTAAAAATGACGTCATCAAATTTTTGGAGGAGATAAACATAAATTTTGATTGACTATAACCTTGTGCAAGTTTTCACAACAGAAGCTTATTGTTTTGTAGAATTTAAACAGCATACAAAATTTTAAGTTGACGTGCCTAATAAAATCATTAAGAAACAGAAAATGCACATTTTTGTATTGTACCAACCGTAAAAAAATGGAGAAAACATGAAGTTAGCCATTCGTCAAATGGACCCTAGTTATTACAATACAAATGATACTCGTATTGTCAAAGTTATATCAAAGTACATTTTAATTTCATTTTAATATTTTATTGAAAAAATAAAGTTCTAATAGAAAACAAAATTTTGCAATTAATAAATAGTTCGTAACAACCAAAGTAAATCAGGAAATGAGAGCCCCCGCATCAATTTTATTTTTGGAACGAAAACAATTTTGTCTTTATGAGTATTTCAGAAACGGTGGAAAGAGGCAACGATGGGGAAATTTCGACGCTTTGTCTATGCTACCCAACATGAAATTAAATCTAACTTTTGTTACGTATTAGTCTAGGTATTTTGTTAGTGCCGTGTTAATGTAATAAGAAGGGATTGTTTTCCAAGTTACAGTAAAAAAATTGATCTATAAAATTAGAGATAATACCAGTCACAGTGTACGAAAACAAAACGGCGCCTAAGGTGATAAAACCCGCGACTTTCATATATTAGTATTGGATTTTTTGCAAAATCTGGTTGCCAATGGAAAAACTCAAAGCAGATTCATAAACCACAAGTACAGGAGTATGTTATTTTATAAAATTTAAATGGCATTTACCATAAAAAAGTGGGAAGCGTCGTCACCAAATTGTTGGTAAATTTTGTTTATATTAATAATATTCCTATCATACATATAAAATTTGACAACAATCCGTCTGGTTTTGAAGATTATCGGTCTAGTAAAAATGGACACAGAGGCAATATGAGAAACACACAACTGGTGAAGCCTATAAGAGTATAACTTAGAGAAATACTACGCAATACAAAAAAATCGATTAATTAATTAGTCAACGATTTTAATTACTGTTTATAAAACGTCATTAATTTTATCCAGCCTCATTTTCGAACCTACATACCACGCATGTACGCATGCGAATGAGAGTATACCTAATGTCGTAAAAAGTAAACACTTTTAGTTGTCATTTGATTTCACTTTAAGAAAGGTGTCATTTAATTACTCAAAACAAATAGCTCCTTATTGAAAAACATTTCAAAATGGATGGTATTCATTACACTTCCGAAACGAGAGAAGTTTGGCGCTATTACTAGATGGTCCCAATCAAATGTGTTAAAACAGCATGAAAAGAAATAAAGAAAATATTTTCGAGGCAAGAACCGACACTGACATTTACACAGACGGTTCTATGGACTCTACTCCTTGAACTGAATGCACAAGTGAGCACCCACACGACTAAGCTCCAAGCAGAACTGAGACAAATAAAGCTAAAAGGTAATCAATCTATGACGAACACTGCTAACCCTTAACAACTAGGTTGTT